CCCTCCTCTTCTGCCTGTGATTATATAGCAACAAAACAGTATCTGCCAGCTCTGAAAGCGAATGTCATAGTGTGTGAAGAGTTTCGAATATTGATCGCGACGGAATTCTCTACCTACAGGTATTTAATTGCCTAACGGGGTGGCCAAAGAATTAATGAGTTAGGACTTGCGAATAGTCGGATTTCAGTTAGATGTATCAGCATACTAGCTTTTAAGCCTGGAGACAGCTTAGTGTGATGAAGTACTTTGTGCGGCGGCTATACAGTTGGATTATGAACACTGCTCTAAAAGACCCTTCGGATTGGAGCTCAGTTAAAATACGTAACTACCAGGTTATTGTACGTTTGCGCATGGGCGATTCGGTTTTGTCTAGTCAACTAGACGGACGGAAAGAGCGTGCTTCCAACAAGCTCACCTATTCTTGCTCTTGTCTGCGCCTGCCATCCGATTCAGATCCTACTTCTTATTGCTTAGGTGAGTGAATCGCTGTTATCCAAATCGGCTTTGCCGGTCAAAAGTCGGGAAAAAAAGCTTCCTATGTTTCCGCCGCTAAACGCAATTGTCCGCTTCCGACTTAAAACCGAAGGAATAAGATTAGCGAGCGAATGGGCAGAAACTTGTTGCAAGCCAACAGCTGATCCAAATGTGATTTTATGACAATGGGCACTTCAATACCATCTAGGCACCGGCAACATCTGCCAATCTCTTTAGGTTTCGGTGCCATACATTTGTTACCGGGAGTCCCCATCTCACAAACAGCCGAAGTGCTGATCAATGACGTGGAGTAATCCTATTAACCCCACGGTTATTGGTATAGACAGTGATGCTGATGACAAGATCAGGCAGACAGTTTTCCGAAGGCTGACTGCCAGGTGGACCCATAAACACATGAGTGACCCAAAAGGCCAATTCTTTCTCTTGGATAGCTGTTATTCATGTCCTTCCGTCATGTGCCTGGTCTTCCAATGATCCAAATTTGAAATTATGCTTTTGAACGTAACTGA